TAGACATCTGAACACCATCGTCACGTGCGGTAAAAAAAAATAAAAGCATTCTCTTCCTGTCGTCACTTTGACTTACAATGAGGTGGAAATAAGTAGATTACTACAAAACTACTCAGCGTTCGATGCCCGTTATCGCGTAAACTGATCATGAAGATAGCTGAATAAATTCAAGATCAAATCGCTGACAGTTGGATTGAGGTTATTATCAGTCAGGGAATGGGTAAAAAAGCATACTGATTACGTTCGATTATTCAAGTACATTGTTTTATGGAATTATGATGTAATACGTCGTATGGAATCTTTGAGTAATTGCAATCTGAATTTTCCTAGGTGAGTTACACCACCATAAATCAACATCAGCTTAGGTCAGTACACTCTGTCGGACCCCTGCGAAGTGAGGTAATTTCGAGAAGAATTAGCCATTCAATCGGTCTACTTGTATGCTGTGATCGCTGCTTCCAATTGGTTGCCGGCTTAAGTCAGCAGGGAACTCGTTTTGTATGCAAGCTGTTTTTCAGTACGACGTTGGCATTCTTGAATGTGAACCGTTTGAGTCGCATGCTTTCCTCTGTGCATATGCGGTCTGCTGACGTAATACATTCAACACGGTCATCAATGTTAGATATGAAACTTTCGGTTCATAGCAAACGCTGACATTACCGTTGGATGAAATGTGATATGTAGTCGCACCATATTACCAAATGATTCCTTTAAACAGAGGTGGTATTTGTGGAAATTATATGAACTGAACCTGAGTCCGCACCTATGAGGCTCGTTCAGATCTTTCAATACGGTCATCAATTTTGGGTGTGAAAGTTTCCGTTCACGAAATGCGCCGAAGTGTTCGATAGAAAAAACAAACAGATTGCTTGGTCGCTCGGACAGTTCACGAGCCAGCACAACTCGTGAAGAACTGTAGCAGAGATGGTGCATCGACGTGTTATGCCGTATTCTTGAAGTTTTGCAATAAAATGAAATGATTCATTTGACACGCACCATCAGTCAAAGGAATCCAATGTAGAGTTTTGTTGAATGACCGATGTTTGAGTTTGGAATTTCCATCATGAATAAAAGCAGTTCTGAGGGCTGAATACAACATACAAATGCACATAGAAATGCTGTGAGGCGTATATTACCTTGTGAGAACAAACGGGGTCAGGCAAACATCACATTCCCGACAATGAAGAAACAAATATGAACTCAGCGTTAGGGAAATACATGTGGATTAGTCCACCTATCCGTCTGCGTTTCATTGTGGACTGTCGTGAACTGTTAGGCAATGCTACACATCTACGTTTCGGCCGAACTGATCACATATTGCTCTCTGCAATTTCATTGCTTACAAAGGGATTGTTGATGTAACATTAAATTGTTTTATTCCTGACCATTCTATATCCGTTGGGCGTCTGAGTGAAAATGTAAGGTTCGGAATATAAGTCAATCCCTTTCAATGTTTCGAAACGGCACGTTTGCATGTACTCAGATCACAGTCGTATTTCAATCACGGAAACACAGAGACCAATTTACTCTCTTCATTTGCACATTGCATACGATTTCAAGTGTTTCGAGTTCAATTATATCTGTCATGGAAGCGCGATGACATATGCAATCGATGACATATTTTATCGCAAAAAGAAACACAATCGCGGTATTTGATCAAATGTATGGACTGAATAATTCATTTATCTCGATACGACAGTCAACCACTGCACTGGATTGGTGTCTAGAGGTAGAGTTACTCGCAGATACCGAACCCCGAACCACAGTAGAACACAAGACCGGTATTTCTACGTGTACTGTTTCATATTCATTGATGCATTATTGGGATTGAAACGGTACATCTCAAAGTGGGGACAACCCGGTCTGTGTAAAACAATCGTTCCGCATGAAGAAGGCAAAGGTGTGAGGAAGGCACTCTGGTTGGTATTCGTAGCGGAGCTATGCGGGGTGTCTAAATCGACAGTGATACTTCAAGTGCTGTGAAAAGCAATCACACGGATATGATAG